ATTTTAAATATCACACATTTTAAAAATATCGTGCAAAGAGACGCTTTAATATTTATTTTAAAATTTTATAATATCCCTTATGTATATAAGATAAATCAATAAAATTATAGACTTATCTATAATCTAATCTCTCCGATTTTAATACTCACCATGACCTTTGATTCCAGATTTTTGGAGCTGTGGAAATTCATACCGAACTTTCTAAGATTATTATGAATAAATTTCCTCTGATCCTTCCACAGAGCACCCTCCGTATTAATGAGACCTGCAATAGCAACGAAAGCGATGCTGAAACGCTGGAACTCATACACGTGGCGCGCTTTTCACGGAATCGTTTCCTTTTCACGGTATTAATCTGCCACAAACGATTGATTGTAACACGTCAAAACCGAAATTAGCATTAACCGGGGAACAACCGTGGAAACCCGCAATCCTGATCGATCGGAAACGATAGTTCAGAAAATATAGAAACAATCATAATCATGACCAGCCAATCAAATGCTAGCATTCTATTAGTTAAACAAATTTACTACTGCGCATCCTTCATGCACCACCACTTATGTATGTACGCGCGATCACGGAAACAATCGCGGAAAAGAAATCACTCGTGAAGTTTTCTCTAAAATTGTATCTTAATTTTATTATCGCTAATTTCGCGCAACAGACGTACTGAAAAAAGAAAGTTCCAATGTCAGTCGGCATTGAGAATAATCGAACGCGCGGCACGAGAGAAGAACTCCCGATAAAACCAATGAAACGTTTGAAATCGCGGGAAAGACGAGCAAGTCGGCAGAGTGCTTTAACCCGTCTCGATGATACGAGAGCTAAAGTCGTGAGATAAAGTGTACTATCGAAATTTGCTGTGCCTGACACTTACCGTATCCATCGATGATGTTCATGAAGTCGTTAGATGGTCTGCCGGTGAACTCCTCACGTCGGAATGAATCGCGTATGATTAAATGATCGCTGATAACGACGGTCAACTCGGAGCCGATGCTAACGCTGAATATTCCACCGTACTTCTTGGCCAGCTCATTGAAATGCAGGTGTACAGCTCCTTTGATGAAGGGTATGTAGCCACAAAACGGCAGTCCCCATGGACCAGGAGGTAACTTGTACCTCAAGATACGGCTATATTTTAAATATAGCAAATAGGTCACCAGTGCAACACTAACGAATATCAGAAGAGAATAAGCGATCTGATTCCCACTGCCGCCCATTATATGCCAAAGCCATCGCCCGAATTGTTCTACCAGCATCTCGTATGGATCACGGATCACCGATTGATTAAAAATCCGTGAAATCGAAACGCTTGTTAATATCTTCGAATGTCTGTTGTCGTGGTTATCACTGATATAAATATATATATATATATATATAGATATATATAAACCGCACGAAGTCTCTATATTTGTTAATTTTTCTCTTTCGCTTTCTTAGTCTCTTGATACAAAAAAAGAACAGAGTTCTGTTTGTTCGAATATATTATGTCCATTCGACTCTATGCCTTTATATCTAATGAAGCCGCGACTACTGCTGTCGTAAAATAAATAAGCGATGTCTCCGCAAGAAAAGAAGGATGAAAGGAAACTCCTATTGGAAGGAACTCCTCCGTGCAATCCTAGGAAAGTGGGGGTTTCAAAAATGATAATGAATAGTTTCAAGGCAAAGGAAGGGAAAAAGGAAAATAAGAAGAGGAAGGAACTAACTTAGAAGAGAAGGAGAAGAAAAGAAAGAGAGAGGGAAAAAGTCGGTCACCCCAGCCGAATTCGTTTGCCCGCAACGTCGAAGTGAACGAGCTACGGAAGGATTGAGTATACTCGTATACCTTCTTGTCCTTGCCTGTTTATATAGTGACTCATGTATGCTGAGTCCCCCAACTGTACAACTCTACAAGCCCCTTGGTGGGGCTTACCGGACGACAGAGAGAGAGACAGAAAGAGGACTGTCGGAGGTGGGGTTTCCCAGGGTGGGGCATACTCTGTATTTACGTGTTTCAAGTGAAGAGCATTTCTACCTGGCGTTTGAAGGCGGACCGAAAACCTGGGCCTCGTTGGCTAGAATCGGACTTAAGGCAATGGTGGGGAAATGCCCCCAGCAAATACTACTGGTTGATGGGGAGCTGCCGCCGGATCTCCCACCAACGAGTTAGTGGCGACTTCATTCACTACGTAGGCGGTTAACGCAACGTAGTATGTTGCGTCTCAGCGATGCATCATTTCATCTAAAAAATATGATGAACATCGTAGGTATGTAAAAAATCATTTATTTAAAAAAATGTATTTGTATCGCATATTGAATAGAAACATTGCTAATATAATACTACTTTAACATTTAATCATTACATTAAGTTAAAATTTATTTAATAATTTATTCAAATCGCGCGCAAGATAGTAGCTGTATAAAATGACTAATAATAAAACATATAACGTGCGTTCTTATTAAACTTTTGTTGAATAATGATAAACATATACATTTTTATAAAATATAGATAATTTGAACATCACCACATAATGATAATAAGTAGATACAGATATTTTTATTAAATCTATATTTTTTATAGATAGCATCGCAATTAAAGATATTTTATCTTGTTTTATATAAGTAAACTAAAATAAAGAAAACTGACTTAGAAATTAAAAAATATTTTACTATCCTATACATAAATCTTCATATTAAATACGTAAATAATAATCATTTAATTTATAACACATTTTGTTCTTAATTTAATTTAAAAACTTAATTTATATAAAGTATATATTTAATATAGAAAATATCGATAGGTGCGCAATTTTTGGAACAAAGATAAAAGAAATTTGTCAATTACAAGTTTAGTAGTAAATTATTGATCTTATTTTATTAGTATAGCTAACAATTTAAATAATCTGAAGCAATTAATATGACTATTTGTTTTGCATGGTATATTATTTAAAATTATGTTAATATATTGTTAATTATACCATGAAATGTTGACAAATTATTATATTAATTGTGTTGATGAATTAAATATATATTAAATATTACCTTAATATATGCTATGATACTTGAAGTATCAAGTTAGAAGCAAAAGTGAAGAATCGGCTCACGATAAAACGCATATTCAACATTGATGGTAAATAAGTGACAGGCGTCGTCACAAGCAATTTATCGCGATTGAAAATATTACTTCGCTCATGGATACGCTGACGTGAATATATTTTGACTGACCAGCACGCGCAGATTACACTTCGTAATGCGTGCCACGCGAAGAAATAACGGGCGGTCTCATAATCGACCGCTTGCATCATAATTCGCGAATTGTGTCGATCGATGACTTTGCACCGAAATGTTGCGCTCTTATCAAATCTTCGGGGTCATTTGGTCAGATGCGTCGCAGTTGAGATTTCGGACAGTCATAATTCACAACGGCCGGTACGTGTAAACTTAATTAATCTCAACTCAATCGCAAACGCACTCATTCTACGTGCCTATATTCGTAAACTTAATGAAGTTCGTAATTACGCAAACCATTCGTGGCGGCGAGATCTCACGGCTTTCTTAAACAGCCAATAATTTGTATCGCTAACGAAGTATTATAAAACTATTAATAATACGTGCGAATACAATTAATATTTCACAGTAATTAGCTATTAATTACAAGGAAAGAACGATTTTGCTGAAGTATCTAAATTTAGTTAGATCTAAATCTAAAAATAATTTTGTTGAACCATTGAAATAAGTATGTAAAGTGCTCAAGCTTATTAGGATCTCTTTTAGTTATAACATATTTTGATTTTAATTTATAAAAAATGTGCTATACAATGTTTTGAACAAAGACATATTTTAATATTTATATATCTGTAGGATATTTCAATAAATTAATTATTTAATCAAATTAATTATTTAATACTGAATTTATATATTCTTCGAATTTCAGAATTTTTTAATTCTCTATATAATTCAACCATATCCACTCTTATCGTTTCTGTAAGAAGGGAAGGAGGGGATATTTCTTTTTTTAGTCTGAAAAGATATCGATACGATCGGTGCTTGCATTGATGTTTCCCAATATAAATTTTCTCGACTCCAATAAATTTTCCAGTACTCCGATTTGGAGTACTCCGGGCGCGAGCTGTTCGTCATACGATAAACCTGCATTTCACAGGTCACCGACCTGCTTCCATACCTGTTGCTGATAGGCGCTCGTTCTGTGGGTTCATTGGTACTTAAAGTTCAAAGTCTAATTAATCTATCACAAGGATTTATTTAATGTATCGGTAGAACGTACCTACTGTATAGACACATACACTCGTTGCAGGTATTATAAATTTTAGTGCGAATACAATATTCTGATAGTTACATTAATAGCAGATTAATATACAATTAATAAGATTCGAAATTTTAATTTGACGGATATATAGTACCGAATTCTTTAACGATTCGATATAATGTTTATCGCATTGGTGAGTTGAAGATGAATTTTTATGAGGATAATTTATTAGGCGATGTAAGAAAGTTGCCACCATGCAAAAAATAATATAGTTTAATATTTATCGCCAGTATTCATAGTTGATTCTTATTTTTAAATTATTTTAACCCTTTGAAGCACGATGTTATATTTATGTAACACCTTTTATTAAAAAATGAAAGTATTATATCCCTTCCGATTTTTTTGTAACTATTTGTATTTAGTAATATTATAAATCACTGAATCTCTCTGAATCTGAAGTAAAAATTTTAAAATTAGTAATTAGAAAGGTCAAAAAATATTTTAAACTTTAAAATGGTTTACTCGAGGCGGTTCAAAGTGTAATAAATCTTTGATTTGTGTAATATGTTCATTCTCATTTGATGATACAACGTCCCAAGGAGGGACAGGGCCTACCACTCATGAGGTTTCTGTAACAATAGATTTTTCCGGAATTAAGTTATTAGCCTAATCCAATCTGAAGGATCCATACATACATATATCCACTGATATATGGGATATATAGTTTAACGCCGGATCCGAACAGCGTTGGTGATAAAAGATCTCACCAGATGGAGCCATTTTTTGGCCTTAAAAAATCGCGTATGTGGGCACAAGTGAAATTGAACCCGGATCTACAGATTGCGAGTTAATCGACAAGTCACTCGACGCCTCTTCTAAAGATTGTATACGATCTCATATATCCGTAATCTCACTACAAAGCCATCTGATCTCTTGGATTGCTACTATGTTCAGTTTATATTTTCCCACTTGCTCTAATAAGGCTTTAACTGCCCCCGGTTTGTAAAGAGATTCTATGATCCGATAGCATAGTCCGTAATTCGTTTGCGTGATCATCACCGTATATCCAGTTTAATCCGAGTTTCCGCTTCAGAAGAAGACTGTTTTAATAGTATATTGTTGGTTTTATATGCGTTTCTTGAATATTTGTAAAATATAAGATATGTTTAGGAAATATATATATGAACACGTCCCGTGTGGAGATTTGTCAGTTACCTCCAACAAGCGCTTTGTTGCGAAGTTAGACACCCAGTGAGAAATGACAATGGAATCGACATCGAATCAATGTCGATTCGACGTCAAAATCATCGAGTTGACGTCGAATCGACGTTGATTCGACGTCGATTCCATTGTCATTTCTCACTGGGGCAATGGAGTTAGGTTAACAACTTATCCCCTTAATCCTTAACCGGGCACGTCGTGATTTTTCAGAAAAACAAATTTTGCGGCACTCAATGCGCCGCAAAAGAAAATCTTGCTTATATGTATAAATAATTGTAATAATGTGAGATATTGAACCGTTCCCCACATTTTAATTGATTTTTACTCGTATTAATGTTTAATATCTCTTTAGATTAGAGTTAGGTTAAGTTATGTTGTAAATAAATTCTAATTACTATTAATTTATAATTACTATTTTTATGTTTTAAAAAGTTTATTCCATATTATTATTCTATAAAAGCATTGTTATTATTTTCTTATATTTAATTATAAATTAATACATCTTTATTTTTTAGCAAATCTCTTAATTTTTATCTTATTTTTAATTTTCTAGTTACATTTAACTTTTAATTTTATAAGAAAATAGACACCAAATTTTAATGTTATAGTAAAATTTTAATATTACATTTTATTATAAATATATTTTACTTGCTTTTATGACGATTGTCCAATTATTTTTTTTATCCAATTATTATTACTCCTAAATAATAAATTTGTGATGCGGCACTCGTGCGTGCCCACTGAAGTTTGGTCGGAAGGCCCAATTAAGGCGATGCTAAAGCCTCCTGTTTTACCACATTTCCATTCGGTGAAAAATCTCTGTATTGGATGTACGGATTGC